AGTAGCAGCTCACAATATGACACACAGGATACACACAACACACACGGCACACAACGCAAACGACACACACAATATTTACAACAACAAAAATTATTTTGTTGTGTAACACAGAGTGCTGATATTTTTCAGCGCCTCTGAAAACCCGGCGAGCACGGTACTACATGTTTGTTGATACACGCTCAACATAGTCGACTGTTGTTCCACCTTCACTTGTAACTTTTCGGCGATGAAATCAGTATCGCCGAGACTGAGGAACAACGTCTTTATTGAGCCTTTGTGGCTCTCCTCTGTGGCACGTAGTTGCTGAATATCCTGCCGCATTTCAGCGAGCTCCAATACCACACGTTCAAGCTTTTGCCGTTGTCGTCGTTGACAACGTCGTCTCTTCAGGTTTTTGGTCTTTTTAACCATTACATCTGCAAGAAAAGTAGACAATACTAAGTTTTAGCATAGATTTATGCAATCAAAATGAGTCTTATTTACCTTGCTCCGTTTCCATATGCTCGTATATGAGCTCTTTTTTGATGATAACAGGTTCAGACATAATGTTTATAGATGAAATATTTTAATCTATAAGAAAAAGCAGCAATCGATTAGATCGTTCCTATAGGTTACTGTCAATTTATTGCATAAATAAACAAGATAAGTTTCCCTTTTTCTCGTTCAATCCCGATGCAACTCACAGATTCAAACTAGGAATTAAATTTTGTCAACATTCAGACTCATTTCGATCATGTTCAGTTTAGCTTTTGTTCATTCGCCTCAACGAACGGAATCCTTTACCACTAACCCTATTGTGTTCATGTGACTTCTAAATACTCTCTAATACTCACACACACAGAGTGTTAAGTAAGAGCTAGCACAAATGAACATTGATTTCACAATACACGGCGAACTTGATCAATTAGATGATCATTCGATTCCTTTTCAAAGATTCGAGGCAATTAGATTCGGTAGGATAGCATCAACGTGCTTCTTTCAAATGATCTACTAATAGTAGATTGTTGAACATAGAAAAAGACTCCAAGTGCTAGTAGGAAGACACTTAAACTAACCCGATGCAATCCTTGAGCACATCGCTGTTCCAAATATACTTTCATTTTAGGTGTGCGTATGAGAGCATGCAGATTACTTGCTGACTAATCACTCTGCCTATAGTAAACCAATTTCTTGCTAGAACCTCTCTTTCGAAAGACTTGACTGATACCACTCAAAGCATGTATCATGCAGCATACTAGTACATATTGTACAGAGGCCCTTTTGCGTTATCCAGGAAACACCACGTGGAGGCGGGCTTGCTTAGTTTCCCAAAAAATAGTGACGATAACAACATACTTACCTTCTCACTCTTGCCACTCGTCGATCACTATCAATATTTCAGAACACCTACTTGAAACAAATGATATGTGAAAACAGGCAACCCTCTATCAGTGAGATGTTCGTTTCAGCAGGATTGAAGCAAAATCGTTAGGAACTTAGAACCAATGCATAAAAAAAATCTCTTCAGATATCGGATCAACACGATAACAATGCTATTCCATTTTGAAAATTGGAACAACAAAGTTACATGCCAATCCAATATCCCAAGAAGAGATTTATTCCTATCAACATCCTCAAAATCATCTTATGCTACCGATTAACTATCATTGCAATCCCTATTCATTTGCACTGCAACTATAACCGTAGAGTCGATCGTATAGTTTTCTTCACAACTAGCTCACAAGATTAGCATCAGCCGTGTTCGATGCAACACAGAGGCCCTTTAGCGTTATCCAGGAAACACCACGAGGAGGCGGCCTTGATTGGTTTCCCAAAAATAATGATGAGAACAACATACTTACCTTCTCACTCTTGCCACTCGTCGATCACTATCGATATTGCTGATCATGCATGTGAAACCATGCAGGTCACTATGAGTGAGTTGTTACTTCCAGTAGGAACTTGGAAAAATTGCATAAAAAAAAAGTCTCTTCCTGAGATATCAAATCGACACCATAACAATGTTATCCCATTTCGAAAGATGGAACATCAAAGTTATATGCCTATCCAATATCCCAGGAACAGACTTATTCTCACCAACATCCCCATAATCATCTCATGCTAACGATCCAGCATCACTGCGACCCCATTCATTCGCACTACAACTATAACTGTAGAGTTGATCGTATAGGTTTCATCACAAGTAGGTCACAAGATTAAGATCACCCTTGTAGGACACAAGACAAAGGCCCTTTAGCGTTATCCGGGAAACACCACGAGGAGGCGGCCTTGATTGGTTTCCCAAAAATGATGACGAGAACAGCATACTTACCTTCTCACTCTTGCCACTTGTCGATCACTATCCATATTTCAGAAAACAAGCGACCCACTATCCGTGAGCTGCTACTAGCTCTAGGAACTTGGAAAAATTGCGTAAAAAAAAAGTCTCTTCCTAAGATATCGGATCGACACCATAACAATGTTATTCCATTTCGAAAGATGGAACCTCAAAGTTATATGCCTATTCAATATCCCAGGAAGAGACTTATTCTTACCAGCATCCTCGGATTCATCTCGTACCAACCATCAGAATCATTTCGATTCCGTTCGAATCGGACTTCAACTATAACGATAGAGTCATTCGTATAGTTTCATCAGCAAAAGGTCACAAGATTAAGATCACCCTTGTAGGACACAAGACAAAGGCCCTTTAGCGTTATCCGGGAAACACCACGAGGAGGCGGCCTAGTTTGATTTCCCAAAACATGAAGAAGAGAAAGAAAAGCTTTGTATTTTTTAGTTCGCAAGTTTTTTTTATTTCAAGAAAACAAAGACACACACAGACACAGAGAAAAAAGCTATTTACAATAATATTTACATGGCCACATTCGGAACCAACCCACTAGTCGTCCACTTCAAACGGGTTGATGAAGTTATTCGGTTTCGTTTTACCGTACTTGGCCCAATTAGCCTTCTCCACAGCTAGGAAGAGGTTGTGTATCAGCCGGTCACTTTCCGCATCCTCGTATCTCTGTTCGTCACTACGGAAGTCGTCAGCTTCTTCGTCATCATTATCATACTATTCATCATATGATTGCCACCGAAGCGAATCATCAGAATCATGTTGATCATCGTCGCCAAAAAGAGGTAATCGATGCTGTTGAGGCCGTCTAATTAAAGAAAAAAGACGAGGAAAATCAAATCTTAAAATGATCAATTGAGTATTAATCAAGTCTTACCTGTCGACGATGAGGATGGGACCATTGTTGTCCTGACGTTTTCCCTTTGGATCCACATCGACTCTGATGTGCGTACGAATTTCAGATTTTGCCACCGGTGATGGTACTGATTGTTCGACTGACCGGGGCGCCTTGAGGTTCGCTAGTCGGCGTGAAAACTTCCCCGTAAACTAGGATTACAAAAAGGAACATGTTAATGAATCGAAACATGTTTTTCAATTCAATAATGCACTTACTGGTGGGAGTTCATTCCACTTCTTCGCCACAACGTTATTTGTAAGACGTGAGGTCGCCATACTAAGTATGTTTATTTATCTAGAATATAAAATGAAACCAATAGATTCTAGTTTACTCGATAAACTTCTGACTTCCAAAAACTGATCAAAAGATCAGAAATATGCGTCTTCGTGACATGAAAGCATGTCATGTAAGATGTTATTTTTTTCTGTGCCCAGGTCCTTTTGCGGTATCCAGGACACACCACGTGGAGGCGGCCCTTCTTTGTTTCCCACTCAATGACAAGCTTAACATACTTATCATGTGACTCTTCCGAATCATCGATCTCCATCAGCATTTCACAACATCTACATGAAACGTATGACATGCAAACATAGACGGTTAGTATGTATAAACACCGGTTATTATAAATCACTTCGATAGAGTATCGAATGCACTTCAATGTGATTTCTGACCTTCACACATATTACTTTCTGCCCAACATAGTGTTATCATCATCGATACGCAGCGTTTGCAATATCCTGCCTTAATCTATACGCTCGAAATACCGATATTCGACATATATTTAGTAATTCAATCTAGAGTTACTATGCCTCTATTATCTTCACACACACCACTGTCACTACTTGAGCGAAGCATTTTCTACTTATGATATCACCAATAACAGACAACTCAGCTATCCCTGTTTCCTTTTGATTTTGCTTCAATCTTGCATTATACTCACGAACTAATCGAATTGTATCGACCATTTAATCTCACAAATTCCCATTTTACCCGTCGTAACAGCCATGGTATCTGTATTCGACGCTTCAATGATTCACAGGCTAGGATTTTCTCACTAACATCAATCACTGATAGCATTACTATCAAATTTTCATTACCAACCAACAGCCACAACCGTTCGGAACTCAGAACATCAGCGTAGACAAATCTCTTCTTGAGATATCGAATTAAAACGATAACTATGCTATTACATCTCGAAAGATGGAACAACAAAGTTACATGCCAATCCAATATCCCAAGAAGAGACTTATTCTTACCAACATCATCAGAATCATCTTATGCTACCCATCACAATCATTGCGATCCTTTTTCATACGCACTACAACTAAAAACATCGACTTGTTCTCACACAAGATTAGCATCACTCGTATTCTCTGCATTACATAGGCCCTTTAGCGTTATCCGGGAAACACCACGAGGAGGCGGCCTATCTTGATTTCCCAAAAATACTGATAACCACAACATACTATATCTGTGACGAGATTTAGGACACCATTAACTCCAACGGGAGCATCATACTATTATAGCCATTACTATTGATTCTGCAGAGGCCCGTTAGCGCCATCCAGGAAAC